AGGGGCTGTCCGAGCAGTCTTCCTTAGGCGGTTCGGCTGCAATTGGAGCAGTTGGAGCTTTAGTCTCTTTGAAGACTTTGTGGATCTTGCGCATAGCCTTGGGGCTAAGGGATCCGGATGAGAGAGCCTCCTCAAACTTGGCTTGATCAAACTCAACCATGAGAGTTTCGACGGTTGTTCCAGTGAGATGAACGTCGGATTGCGCCACCACTTCTTCGTCAGAGAAGCTTGTCCCCAGCAGAGTCGCCATCTTTTGTTTGTGGGAAAATTTGCAAATAAGAAAATAAATGAAAGAACTGTATTTGAATTTTGATTTCCGTTTACAAAAGAGAAGAGAATGATCTGGATTCTCCCCTTTGTTTAATTCTGGGTTCTTCTTGGTAGCGATGAGATGCCTCCCTCGAATGCTCGCGTCGAGTTTGCTTCTCGTTGACGATCCGATGTCTTGTTTCACTGGAATGTGGTCTTCTCCTCACGATTTGACGTTGTGGAGAACTCTGAACGAGTTTAAAACTCTATGAAAGAGTTGATTTAACCGAAAGTCGGTTATAAGCCAAGGATGAAGAAGATCTTGTTGCCGATCTCCAAAGCTCCAACCGAAGGATGAAGGATCCTCTTTTTGCTGCCAAGAAGTTCCAACAGACCGACTCGAAAGATCCCGCCCTGATCTGATTATCCAAAATCCGATCCTTAACTCTGTTGAGTTTGTTGTTATTTATAGGGGATTAAGGGGTGTAACCACCTCCTTAATTCGCTCCTAAGTGGGGCTAATGGGATGTAACCACCCCTTAAATCACTCCTGAGTGGAGTTGTGATCCCCTCAGATCGTGGGAAACGGTTTTGAAACTGTTCAGCTCGTGTTTGAACGAGTCATACGCAAAATCCACGTTCTGGCATGAATTCTGCATTCAAACGCAGTGTCTGGAAGCTCGGACGCAGCGATTGGAAGCTCGGACGCAGCGATTGGAAGCTCGGACGCAGCGATTGGAAGCTCGGACGCAGCGATTGGAAGCTCGGACGCAGCGTCTTATTGGAAGCTGCGTTTGGCGGCTTGAAAGCTTGGAGCTGTGTTGAGCAGCAGATGGCAGCTGCGTTGAGCAGCAGATGGCAGCTGCGTTTGGCAGCGCTTGGAGCTGCGTTGAGCTATGTTTGCGCTGCGTTCATGGCTATGAACACGGTGCGTCTTGATGCTGGTGTGCGGGGAGGACTTCCGCAGTTTGATTTGAAGAGACCGTCGATTTGTAGTCTCTTTCTGTCGAAGCGTTGCAAAGATCGTCATTTTGTAATCTTTACTTTAGCTCTTTGATATGCAAGAGTCGTCAGATTGTAACTCTCGATGTTGATGGTGCAGATTGTAACCTTTAGCGATCTACGTGAAAGTCTTCAAATTGTAGCCATCTGGAAGTCGTCAGATTGTAACTTCCATCATCGGTGTTTTGATGGGGATCAGCTATCTATTGTGATTTTTAGACAGCCTACAGGAGTCGGACGGAGTAACTTGTATTATCTGCTTGGGAGCACGGTAGTTAATAGGGCGCTGACTACTTCTATGGCTAGACTGTGGCATTGTTTGGTGCTGGGATATATTGTTGGTTATACCGTGCACAGATTGTTGAGGAGTGCTATGACCTGCAGATTGAAGTCCTGTGAGCACATTGGTATGAGCGAGAAGACCGAGGTGGAGTTCAGCACTTCTATCCATCGATCGAGAGGTCTTATTGGAGGTGTTCAGTCAGGCATTGGGGGGCTTTCCGAGGAGGCATCATCGGGAGGTAATCGTTATTTTGTTTCCTATGTTGGGGATTGTACTAGGCATATTTGGGTTGCAACCAAGTCCCGTTGGTATAAAGCCCTAGTAGTCCGTAACAGTTGGAGGAGGTGTATGGGCAGAAAGGTTACCAGTCGTACTTGTTCTAGTAGGAGTCCTTTCTTGCATTGGTGCCGAGCTCATGGCATTTGGAGACACTTCAGAGTAGAGGAGACAGTGGGGCGACGTGATGAGATGGCAGATATAGTGGGCCGTTCTTTTCTGGAGGAGGATCGGTATTGGTTGTCGAGCAGTGGATCTGGTATTCGGGCTTTGACACGATTAGGCTATCTTATGAGGTTGCCGACTGCTGCGTATAGAGTTGTTAGATCTGGTGGAGATGTTTCAGATTTTGGTCGGCGTCGAATATTTGACTACCCAGCACTTGGTCACATCGTTGATGTGAGGTTGGATCCGATTGCGCAGTTGGGATTCAGGAGTTCATTCGGCTATCAGTTAGGAGCTTCTGAGTTTGGTCTGAGCAGGTTTGTCACTTTGGACTCTCGGCAGGTAGAGAGTATTGATCAAGTCAGAGGGATATCGCAGCGGGTGGAGGTTGATGCTACTCCACATTGGGTGGGGATTTCCCTACGTACTCCAGGTCATTCTGCATTGGTTGGGATTCCAGCTGAGGTGGCATAGCGTGGGAGTCATTTATTTATGGGTGCAGATGATGAGGTGGTTGATTTGGATGCAGCTGGTGGATATGTTTTGGATACGGCCATTGTTACATCTCAGGTGGAGGTGTTTGGATCGCTTCAGTTTGGGGTCGTTGATGATGCTAATTGAGAGCCTTTGGAGGCCATTGGTGAACTACGTGAAGGCTTGATTCCTTGGGCAAGAGGATACGTAGGCAGTCTTTATGATGCAGCCGATTTGGTGAGCGACATCGCATTTGGGGTGAGTGTTCGCACTCCCACTTGGGTCTCAGCAAGTGAGGCATTTGGTGTAGTCGGTGTAGGCTCAATTTGATTTGGTGAGTAGACACAGTTGGTTTGGGGTTGAGTGTTCACACTCCCGTTTGGGTCTCGACGTGCTGTGATTGGAGTCCGTTGTCATGAGTCCGTTGCCATGGCATACTGGGTGCAACAGTTGAGGTATTGGTTTGATCGGTGTCGGCTCAGTTTGGTAGAATCTTCACCGAGGTGGAGATTTGAAGAGATGGTGCTCAGGATCAGGTTTTCAGGCAAACAGGTTGGCGGTCGACCGGTGCGGTCGACCGCATTCGTGCACAGGAGTTTCTGGGCATCAGGATTGGTGGCGGTCGACCGACACAGTCGACCGAAGATGGTAGCGGTCGACCGACGCGGTCGACCGCCGAACTCTCTGGAATTTGGATCAGCCGCTGGATGGAGGGCGGTCGACCGGGCCGGTCGACCGCGATGGATCGCGGTCGACCGTACCGGTCGACCGCCGCTGCGGTTTTGAGTTGGATCTGTTTTCAGACCCGCTTCGTTTTGGATTTGTATAAATACCCTTTGGGTGTTTTTTAGGGTTAAGAGCAAGGACGAATTTGAGCAGATAGAGAGAGTTTTCTTTGGGCTTCTATTCTAGGAGCAATTGGAGAGATTGAGAGTTGATTGTTGAGGGTTTATGAGAGATTTGTAACCCTAGTTTGTTCCTCTTGATTTCTAATAGTGAAAACTCCCCCTCCTTGCCCCGTGGACGTAGGCATCTTGCCAAACCATGTAAAACCGGTGTTTGATTGTTTGTGCTATTGATTTTGGTTGGTTCTTTATCTTTCTCGACGATTGTTTTGGTTTCTCGAGGCGCAACAAGCTGTACCTGGACCGAATGCGCCCCTAGTATTTACTATCTAAGCTTGGATAAAGTCCGGCATAGATCAACACCTCTTTTTTCTTGGGATAAAATCCTAGTATAGGGCACAGGCCCAATCTCATCATATTGGCCCATCCGTAGGCCCACTTGCGCTCACAGAGTTTGATGCTGGTTCTGGCTCCCTGTTCAAAGCGACGCTCAACTCTGAGCAGTTGAGACAGTAAGCCTGACGTGGATGGCTTCCGAAGGCAAGGAGGACAGAGGAATGAGCTCAAGGCTATCAATCTTTTCGGGACAAATTTTTTTTTAAAAGACATTTTTGATATTACAAGTTTCAATCAAGATAAACTTTAGTCACAAATTTCAACCAACTTTCAGCACAAGCTCGACGGAAAGTTAGTATTCATGTTTAATTATCCGGTATTGGCAATCTCAGATAGTTCGGCTCGATAGGAGGAGCTATGGCACCGGGTCGAGCAAATAGAGCAGAGCGGGTGCAACAGTAAGTCGGAGCTGCAACATCTTTGAACAACAAACAGGATCTAAAATTGCAGTAACGCTCGCAACCAACCGTAACACAAGTTTGAAAAACTTGGTACATCGAGACAAACGACTGAAAATAAAAACTACGAATTACCAAAATTTAAAACCAGACCAAACAATTGCAATTATAATTGTATGTAAAAGCAGGCAACAATCCCATGCATCCTTATCACAGTGGCAGAGAACCAAACAATATGCATCAGCGTTTTAAAAACTTTGCGACATCAAAGCCGTACATAACAGATATACATCTTAAAAGATGCTGCAGTGCACAAAAATCGCATATATTAAGGTGTTTATAAGTGAGAATCATCAATACATAACATTCCTCTCCAGGAGAGACTGCAGACAGTTCAGATGAAAAAATCTCTCTCATAATTCTACTTCACATTAATGTTTCACGTAGAAAAAACTGCTACAACCAAGAAAAACCATACAGACTACAGAAATCTATTTGTAACCCAAGACTGCAGCCAGAAAACTCTCACAACATAGCTATAATCTAGATTCAATCTAGACGGAGAATAATCTTAAGAAGCGGGTCAAAACTGACCTTCTTCAAAGCTGAGTTTCTCCAGAGCTCATGAAAATGTACATCTGCAAAATTAGATTTCTGTTATATGCCAAAGAGAAGTGCGGAAGATTAGCAGTTTAACCAATGAATTTTAATACTATGAAAAGATCACCATATCAAGCCATACAACAATAAATCCAAATTGAGATATAAGGTTGATCATAGCAAGCTTAGGTTTCTTCTACTTCTATCTTAATGCCATAACAAATATCCATCCATGGAGCACATGAATGTCGTATGGTCTGAAGTTTAAAGACTTTCAAATGTTGTTTTTTTAATCAGGGTTATTTAGATATTAGTTCTTGAAATCTTCAATAATTGCACATTAGTCCCTCAAAATCTTCAAAATCGCTCACAAATCCCTCAAATCCTAAGGGATCTTGCAATTTGGTCCCTCAATGACCAAAATACCCCTCTGTCTATGTTCCCCCAAGACCTCTCTTGTTCAGAAAAACATTGGGTGAGGGGTATTTTAGTCATTGAGGGACCAAATTGCGAGATCCCTTGGGGTGTGTTTGGCAACTCCACAAAACTTGTTTTAAGGGGTACAACATTGGTCCAAAACCTTGTTTTTAGTTTGGCAAAAATTAGGCCCAAACTGCACTAGTTCTTTCTAGTTCAAAATATTGACCCTAAACTAGTTCTTTTGTAAACCAACCCTTATGTGGTTCAACTTTGGCCTAATTAAGAAAGAACTAGTCTAAGCCTAGTTCAATTTTGAAGTTGCCAAACACACCCAAAGAACTAGTCTAAGCCTCGTTCAATTTTGAAGTTTCCAAACACACCCGTAGAATTTAAGAGACTGATATGGAATTACTAAAGATTTCAGGAACTAATATCGAAATAACCCTTTTTACCCCCTTTAGTGTTCCTTCACAAGAGATTAAGGAGATTCACTTTTGCTTCCCAAAGAGGTGCAGGACTTGCGTTATTTGATTTCCATGAAATATTGATTTGGTGGTTCTTGAAAGAACAGTTCAGAAGGTTACAGTCTAGAAAACAATGAGCTAATCCACCCGTAGGTATTTTTAAGGAAGCAACAGAGTGTTGCTTTTAACTAGGATACCAAAGTTGAATTTTGAAGAAAAGTGCTAACAAAAACGCAACATATGCTTCACTCCTTATTGTTATCAGCGCACCTTTGCTCCCAAAAAATCACCTAAACTGAGTTATTTGTCATTACAATAGCCTAGCCTTTGAGGCACCAATTCAGTAACAAACTGAGAAGTAAGTTCTCACGAACAACACCCCTATACAATTATCTCTCATTATACTTATAGATATGCATCAGGGAAGAAACTACAGGAAGTTGCCAGCACCATTCATGATTTTAAAAAAATGTGGTAAAAAACTCACCATTATAGGAATTTACCAGCATATTCATATTTTATGTGCTAAATGGTTAAAAAAGGTATGGCAATGCGTACATCAACTAACATGGATTTCTAGTTATAAAGAAGGAAGACTCCAATAAATAATTCCTTTAGTATACAATAAACAATTTCTTCCTTTTGTAAACAAGGGATGCCAGTGCACTATATGATAAAATAGCACACTCATGCTATGCTGCAAATATCGAATGGAATATTCGCCACAATCTCTAATATGATCGTGTCAATAATTTTCATTTATCATACTCCCTTTAAAAGAGGGAGTTGTGGAAAAACTTTCTACGGACTATATTACCCCTATTCTTTTTTAATATAAATTTCAATCCTAACTAAACTAAATTAATTATTATTGTTAATTAATTATATTATATGCCACTTCAAGTTAGTCTAACTTGGTCCCTAAAACTTTTAATGTTAATGTAAAACTCTACATCATATTAATTATTACTAATGTATAATAATATATTAATAGACAATTGCATGTTAATAAATTATTTATGAAAAGAGTAAATAGAATTGTCCTAAAATTGTACGATGACACTCATATAGGAAAATTACAAAGTGTATTCTTGCATTTAGGTAACAGGACAGAATGTACAAACATGTAATTTTAGAAAACATTAGGATATTTAAGTGCAGCAAGATACAAGTGGAGGTGTATAACTTTCGTACTATAAATTAATTACAGGTTTGCCTAACTTGGTAACTAAACCTTTCAGTGTTATTGTAAAACTCAACATCATATTAATTATTACTAATGTATAATAATATATTAGTAGACAATTGCATGTTTATTAATTATTTATGGAAAGAGTAGAAAACATAGAATTATACCATGATACTCACATAGGAAATTACAAAGAGTATTCTTGCGTTTAGGTAACAAGACAGTAGGTACAAATATGTAATTTTAGAAAATATTAGGATATTTAAGTGTAGTAAGATACAAGTGGAGGTATATAACTTTCCTAAACTATAAGGTATTTAAGTTCAATTAAGTCTATAAAGATTTGAAACCTTTGTTAGCCACAAATAATAATATGTGATCCTATTGATAGATAATATTCATCATATAATATGAGACCAGAGGTATATATATATATATATAGTAGAGGAGGTGTGGAAAAATTAAAGCATCATATTTTAAATAAGTCTCAAAATTTTGAGTTATTTCCTAAAATTATATAATTTGCTTAGAAAACTTTAGAAGAGTTTTTCGCAAGACTACTACAAAGTGTTGGACATCAAATAAATATTGGACAACTAAAATCTATGATATCAAATTGCCGAAATAGGGGATATGTAAAAAATACCGGGTGTCAGATGAGATAATATTCATACATAATATAGCATTGTAAGTTATAATCTAACATATTAATGAATTTTAAACATAAGAATTTGCATGAAAATATATGCTTAAAATTTAGGAGAGCAGAGAGCGGAGAGATTTTACAGACAAATTGTGACTTTTGTGGCTTTTGTGTGTTTTGGTTTTGGTTTCCAAACATGACCCAAACCCTAGCCCATAATCAAATTAAAAGTGACTTAATTTTGTTGATATCTTCAAAGGGATGTAATGACCAATATTTTTTATAACGATCGATAAATTAGAAAAAATCCCCAAATAAAAGAAAACAACACAAAACCATAAATAATCGAGTAAGGTCTTTAACCTGATATATCGGTCGATAAAGCAATATATATCGGCCGGTATTGCTTCTGTGTGTTTTGGTTTTGGTTTCCAAACATGACCCAAACCCTAGCCCATAATCAAATTAAAAGTGACTTAATTTTGTTGATATCTTCAAAGGGATGTAATGACCAATATTTTTTATAACGATCGATAAATTAGAAAAAATCCCCAAATAAAAGAAAACAACACAAAACCATAAATAATCGAGTAAGGTCTTTAACCTGATATATCGGTCGATAAAGCAATATATATCGGCCGGTATTTAATACATTACCTATAAGAGCAACATTTAAAGATAATTTAGATATAAATTCCTTGATGTTAAATCTCCAATAATTCTATATTATTCCCTCAAAATTTTGAAATTGCTTACAATTTAAGGGACTAATATTAAATTATTAAAATTTTGAGGGACAAAAATATAAACAAGCCAAATTTAAAAAAGTATTTTTCCTGAAAACTCTCTCTACTATGGGGATTTTCTCAAAAAACCCCACTGACTTGATTTAATTTGACAAAACACCCTAACTATAGAGGGTTGTAGATAACCCCTCTTAGCTTTGGTGTGATTTTAGAAAACACCCATCGATTATAGTGTCTCATAAAAACTCCCTTGATCTTTTACATTTCTCTCAACAAAACCCCTTAATGTATTACTTGAATATGAGATTTTGAGAAAATACCCTCTTGAAGAAAGCTATTTTAGTTAAAAAGAAACTCTCAACGGATAATAAAAGGACTACGACTAATTTATAATTCTTTTTCCCTCTATATCTCCTCTTTTTCTTTAATCTAGCAAAAATCAAGCTAATTCTTTCATGGTTGAGGGATATTTTGGTCTTTCCAAGTCAAATACTTGTCATATAATACATTAGACTCAATGATATTAGTTTTGAGCGGTTAAGTGAGAAAAGTTTATAGGGTTAAATCAAAAATTTAAAGTTGAGATTGATTATCTACAATATCCCAAATTTGACGAAGATTTACTCAGTTTTAAGTTAGCAATTTTCGTGGCCAAAGATCCGGGTTCGAGGTTTGCCACCCATGACCATTAAGTGCCCTACTAACTTGGTTACTAGATGGGGTAGGGGGGCCAGTTCACCCAGGGTTTACTGGTAAGAGTGGGGGGCTTGAATTCAGGCCTTGGCTTAGGGATCATTTTGCCTTATCAGGTTTCCCTTGTATCTAAAAAAATAGCTAAGGGAGTTTTTAAGCATTGACCCCCATAGCTGAGAAGGAGATTTTTAAAGTTAACCCTTAAACAAATCATAACTTAAGGCACATATGACATCAATCTTATAAAAGTGGATTTTATAGCAAGTATTTCACTCTATGAACTCATTTGGGTTATGTGTCCTAACATTTATCCTATATATCAACTCTGAAAATCATTTGCTATAAAAATCTATAAGAGAAATTTAATCTTTATTTGCGAAGGTTATATGATCCTTCTGATTCTCCTTGTCTTTCATGATTTGTAATAAACTATTTGACAAAATAAATTAAATTGTTCATTTTATAGTTCTCACTTTCTTATAAGTTTATGAAGCACACAGCTTGGGTATGAGTATTATTGCGGATATTGGATTCTTCTAACTCGTTTACCTAAAATTTTGGATGTGTTTTGACATTGGATAGATCTAAATTATTTGTTAAAATACAATCCATAGTGCATGATATGTATAAATCATTCTCATATTATATTTTATAATTTTCTGAAACTATAGAGTAATTGTTTTGATAAATCAATTAATTAATTAGGAAGATGTAGGAAAACTACAATATCAAATTTTGCAATTGATCATATATTATTAAGGCTTTCTTTCTTGATTGAATTTGCACATTCTGACAAAAAAAATCTAGAATTTTTTTTGAATATCTATAAAACTTGATCGCCTGATAAACAACAGGTTGAAGTAAACAACAGGTGAAAGTGATTTCTTTATAGTTAAACAAAACCCTATATGACCGGATAAACCTACTATTTTACTTTGACGAATTCAAAGAATTTTATTTTTATCATTAATAATAATAGTTTTTTTATATTGGTCCTTTACATCATTAATATTTTGAAATTAGATCTTCAAGTCATTAAATTACTCTTAAGTCATTAATCTTTAAGACTTTTTTCTGCGCAAAGCAAAATGTTGAAACCAACAAAATATTATACATGGAAATATCCAAAAAAAAGTTAGTATATTATCATAATCATAAACTTTTTTGCAACCATGTTATAGTAAGTAAATAAACTTAAAATAAATAATTAAGATATTTGACCACGTGCAGTGCACGTGCATTCCACCTAGTAATCTAGTATCATACAAACATGTAACTTGCATTTGCTTCCCTCCACATTGTTGTATTGGTGCAAGGCGCAATTAGAATATTGTATTAGTGCAACCATCAACTTTAAACTCTATGTTGAGCAATCATCGCTATGTTCTTCCTCCCTATATGATTATTTAGATAGGGCCCTCTTTA